GAGCTCCACAGGGCCTCAATAGTCACACCGCACAGCAGTGGGGTTCCTTTTCTAAAGATTAGTGCAACACTCCATAATCGTATGCACACACAGCTATAGGTCCTCGGTGCCAGCACAGGAAACTAAAAGATGACGTGACGTGTCACTCACACCCCATGTGTGGTAGTGTGTGGTTGACCTGCTAAGAAGCTGGACTAGAAACACGTTCAGTGGTGGAGTTAACCCTGATATCAGATCGGTGGATTTCTGCTGTTCTAACCTAGACAAGTGCAGAGTCTGTGTGTGTGTGTAATGTATTAAGCTACTGGTGCCTGCAAACTCATATTCCCATTAAAAGTCTTGCCCCAGCTGTGAGAGAAAGCCATGTGTGTGCGTTCATGTGTGTGTTTGGGTCAGCAGGTGACCAAATGTGTTTTGGTGAGCCTATCAGTACAATGCCTTTTATGCCTGAAGCGTTTCTCTGCAGTCTCTTATTACAGTGTCATGTGTGTCTGAGTGTGTGTGCCTGTTTGTGTGTGTGAGACAGAGAGAGGCTGATTCCACACACACCCACAGAAGCAGCGTGAAATGTGTTGTGATGTCTCCGCTATGGGAAGCTGTTTTGAGACCACAGAGGAGACGCTCCCCTTCTCTGACCTGCTCAAACTCATTGTCTTGCTGTGACACACGAGCGCGCACACACACACGCACACACACACTGATTGCTCTTTTTTTTTTTACCTCCATCCTTATGTCTTCTGTCTTCCAGCCCCTGCTTGTAAATGTTCTGAAACATTAGGTCCTCTGAGTTCATTGGTGGTTTACGATTTTGAATCAGTGCCTATCCTCTGGCTGAACGTGTTCCAGCAGCGTGTGAATCATTAGTAAAGGCTGCAGAAAATGCTTTCAGATCAGCAGTGAGTACGCCCCTGCATATCGCTTGATGTTGAATAAGTCACACCTGTATCACTTCTCAAAACTTGCTGTTTTTTTAGTTGATCAGCAGACATTTCCTCCAATGAACAGTCACTGAAACTCTGAACTTACTAAGAACATGAAACCACATCCTTTAGTCAAATAAATATTTTTTGGGTTCACATGGGTTTAAGCAGGTTAGCCACAAGCTTTAAACTATGAATCCAAATGCATGAATGCAAAGTCCCAAAAGTGAAGTACAGAAGCAGCGTGAGTGTGATGATACAGGGATCCATTAGTGCAAGAAGTGTTGGGGAGATAACATTTATAAATGGCACAATGAATATCTGTGGATATACCAAAATAATGACTGAGGGGGTGACTTCCACTCTAGAAAAACCAGGCAAAGGAGGGTTTTTAAATGCTTGGACTGTTTCCCTATTGGACGCCTACTAGGGGTTTCTTTTCTGATGTGAGTGGCTTCTGTCATATTTTGGGCCTGCTTCCTGAACAAAATGACTTTGTGTGCATCAGAAGTTAGTGAGGTTGATCTCCTACACAGTTTACTGGGACTAAAACCCAAAACCTGTTCTAATGTCTGTCAAAGCACATCTTTTCTACTTTAGTTGAGCACTCAAAGCTATTTATACAACATTCCCCCAATAACAAAAGCACTTTTTTCTACCCCAGAGCTTCCTACCTAACATTCACACACATTTATGCTCTGATGGTATTGGAGAGGAACTTGGGGTTCAGTATCTTGCCCAAGGATAGTTTGGCACATAGGCTAATCAAATCAAATAACCAAACTTAAAACCTTAGTAAATGACCTGCTCTACTTCCTGAGCTGCAGCCACCCCAGTTGAGCGACCTCTGTAGTACGAACCTGTTGCAGTGCTGCATCTCATAGTACCATCCACATACAAGTAACTCTCAAAAGTTCTAATCTTGATTTTGTGGCTGATTAGAAACGTACTAATATTAATATCGTCAATCCTTAAACCTGTGAGCTTTTAATATTAGGCACAATTGCTTAACTTCAAAGTAACTGACAGACCATCACAGTGCCACGTGATTAAGACAGTTTGGAAGAGAGGAATCTACAGTAATGCAAAAGAGGAAGAACAATTGAAATCTAACACAGAGTCCTGATGTGGAATGATTGTACAGTAGCACTTGGGATTAGACGTGATTAAATCCACTTAAATCCGCTGTTAAAACGATAAGGGCTTTTTTCTGTATGTTCCACAGCTGAAATATAGGTCACACAGAGCCAAGCAGAGATGCAGAGTTGATGCACACACATGTGCAGCAGTGTTCTGTTCCCTACAAAGAAAGCGCGTGCACAAAATCCAACTACCACCACCACCTCCATCACCACTTTACCCGTCTCCCAGGGCAACAAGAGCAGAATCTACCAAGAGGCATGTTGAGAATGAAGGAGAGGAGAGGGGAGGAGAGGAGCAGGAGGAGGAAGGAAAAGAGAGAATGAAAGAACGGGGAGACGGACACAAAAGACAACCCAATCTACCAAGACTTATTCTAATAAGCTGCTAGGAGGAGGATACTATAGGGGTAATCCCTGCTGTGGGACACCCGTCTATGGGCGAGTGTGGATAATGTGGCTACCGTCTGATGGATACAGATAATGGAGTACATGCTCAGACAGTCATATCTGGCCTTGGCATGTGTAAAAGAATGATGTCTGGTTTATTTACATACAAACTACTGCCTAAACTCTATGTGACAAACGCATGTTCGCATGTAGGTTTTCATGCAGTGTCCTCCTTCAGTCCTTCAGTGTTGCACACATGAAATTTAAGTAATTCCTGCTTCCAATTTGTTCAGAAACCAAATTATACAATCGACTTATAACCAATAACCAATAACCCTCCAAGCTCGAGGAAACATTGATGTTTGGGATAAGTTCTCCATAATAAACTGTTTAAATCTCATGCAGGGAAACTGAGAATAACTAGTCCCATGTCCACACAATTTTACACAGTATCATTTTTTTTGTATTCTTTGGCTAATTTGCCATAAAAGAAATCATGTTAAATTACCAAAGAGCACTAAAAGGGTTCTTTGTGAATAAAAGTGTGTTAAAAGATGCCTGTACCCTGTTTAGCCTATCCCACCATCATAAGTGACAGAAAAGTTTATTATTTGGCTTCGCTGGGTTTATTCTTCGCACAATTGTGCTGTAGACCTTCTCCATGCTGCCCCCCACTCTACAAAATTACTTGCTTCTATTTTCCTTATCATAGCTGCCCTACAGCATCCTGTTCCTCCCAATCATATCTGCCCCTCCTCCTCCCCTTCAACCACCACCTCCCTCTCTCCATAGGGCTCATGCTGGGTGGGGAGGCAGCAGTGGCAGTGCTGGCATCTGTTCGAAGGGCTGGTGCGTTGCCAGCCACCGAGCATCACTCCGGCAGCCAGAGTCACACTGTTGGATTTATCTCCAACCTGTCAGCTGATGCTTTTTGTGGGCGTTAAGCTGGGCGGGCATAACCTTTTTTCTTTTCTTTTTTTTGGGTGGGATGGGGCATTCACACTGCCAAAGTGGCCACAAGAGACTTGGGTGGGGTGCAGAAGTGAGAGAAGTGAGTGGCTTTTTATTTAAAAAAAAAAAAAAAAAAAAATCACTTCCAGCACAAGATGAGGGCTGAAGCTCTCAAAGAATAGAGCATAAAGCTGTTAGGAAGGGAGAGCGCAAGCAAGGGATGAAGAGTATATAAGGCACAGTGAGGGGGGCTTGAAAAAGTAGATAAAAGGTAGAGTCTGAGCAGGAGAACAGATCAAGAGAGTGACAGGGAGCCCAGGAGGAAATCAAACCCACATCTGAAGCTTACAGGAGCACATTTCTCGTGCAGACAGAGCAGCTCAGTTGAAAGGTCATTCTGTCACCTTGTGGCTTAAGTACCATTCTAATGCTTTTTTAAAAAAACAAACAAAAAAAACCAAAACCCAACCCATTCTCAATTAAAAAGTAAACCCAACCTGTTAGACTGAAGCGGAGCTCATTAAAATCTAATTCAGCTACCGTCGAGTATTGCCCACTAAATGTCCAATAATCCCAATCAGTCTCCGCATTCAGCGACACGCGCCTGTAAATGTCACGGCATTCCTGCGTGAAACTCTCGAGACAATCAGCAGCAACCGGCGTGCCAGAGGACGGAGTCATGCGCTCGGTGTGCTGGTCCCTGCCATCAGTGAAGAATCAATTGGCCGCTAATGGAACCATTTGAGCAATTAGTACCATGACAAATTCATAAGCGATGATTAGTAAAGTTGGTTGTCAGTGCAATTTCCTGATAGGATCCAGTTCAGAAGCATAAGCTACCAACCCCCATTCCCCTTCCCTAACATAACACTAATACAATAACCGAAGGCCAGAAAAGCAGAAAATTAGTGGTTAGCCCCATCAAAGAGCCCGAGTACTTCAGAAGAGCCGGCATTACTCAGCATTTAGATGTCATGTAACATAACCCTGAAATGCTATCGCTCCCTTTCACATAGGACTCCATCTGTGAAACCATGCTAGATGAATTATGAGACTGTAAAACGCTGAGAACTGATAACCAGACTGACATTATCTCCACACAGCCACAGAAAAATAAAAAAAAAGAAATCATCTTTTGAAAAAAAGAAAATCTGCTCATGTCAGAGGTTTGCTTAGTAAAAAAATTCCTGTGGCCATGTGACTTTGATCCAGGATCAACAGTTTCTGCGCTCTATTGTGTAGAACAACTGAATGGGAGATTCCAGAGGGGCCCCAAGCAAAATGATTAGGAGCCAACTCTTAGTATAACTTCATTCATTCCAAAGTTATATTTGGAATTTAATCGGTTATCTACAGCATCCACCATTATCCATTCATGTGCATGTCTTGTTCTGGAAAAAACAAGACATGCACTCCAGATTGCAGTATTTAGACACTGAAGCCTGCCGCTGAAAATCCAGAGTTCATCCAAAGGTGCCTGCTCCTATGGAAGCAGGAACGCAACTATATGTCACGGCAGGTTCAAACTCCAGGAAGCAGCGAGCAAAGGAATTATTGTGTTTAGTCAGCCAACACAAAAGACTCTGTACGGGCTACTTACGACAATTCTCCTCATCGCTGCTGTCGGGGCAGTCATCATCTCCATCACATCTCCACACGATCGGGATGCACGCTCCGCTCTTGCATTGAAACTGCCCGGTCTCACACTCTGACTGCGTGTGAGTTCCTGTGTTTTGAGGGAAATATTTTTTTTAAAAAGAAAGAAAGAAAGACAAACTGTCTGTCACTTTCATTTCTCATTTAGAGATCACATTATGAATTTCACAGGAGTGAATCAGAGAAACAAAAATGCAACAAATTACAAACAAGTTTGGGAGGTTAACTGACAAACTTTCATTTGTGACTAATGAAAGTGGGAAATTGGTAACGTTGCCCCAATTAATAATGTTGCTGCTGTAATCAAGTAATAATTCAAGTGTTTTTTAAATGCCAACTATCCCTTTTTCCACCATGACTGTAATGGGCATGCTGTTGTTTATGTACCACTATGCCACCTTTGGTTAACTTAGGTTGCTGCCGAAGTTCCTGCTGGCACTTAAACATTCAGACCAATTTCAGGCTATTTCACCTGTTCAAAATGTTAGCTCCAATTACAAAGAATGCATCCAATGCACACCATTACAATCTCCACTCAGCGACCACATCACCACTGACAGCCTTTTTCCATCTTCCAGCATCAGCTAGAGAGCATGTGCTGCCCTTTATTTCATTCATTGTCACCTCCTACCGCCGTTAATAGCAGTCCAAATGCGGACATAAGTATGTACGCACGATGCACACAGCACATTATCTCGGCACTTAAGAAGACGCCGATCGCACTGACAGACAACTCGTTTGTTTTGTTTTGTTTTTCAAACAGGCAACCCAGATCCCCTGAGAAAGCGTTGCCAGTGTCCGCGCTGCGATGCAAATTCACCCCTCTATACCTCGAAACAAGTCCCCTACCTTTAGCGCAATGGAGGTCCAGGAGTAACAGATGTAATAGCACGAGCTTTCCGACCTCTGTCCACATCGTTAGATCCTGGGGGGCTCCGCGGTTGTCCGCATGTAAGTAAAATTTCCTCCCCACCCACCCAAAAAAAAAAAAAAAAAAAAAAAAGACAGTGTGAAGAATCTCCAGCGAGTGACTCGCTCCGCGCTGCTCTGCCAGCCTGTCTGCTCGGAGTGTGTGAGTGTGCTCAGCCCGGCTTGCTGCTTTCTCTCCCTCTGCCTCGGCTGCAATTTGAATCAGTGACGCTTATGGGCGGGATAGTTTCAGCGTGTGATGGTGCCTTCGGTTAAAGTAGTAGGTAGGAAAAAAAAACTACGTGGTTGGCTGCTAGCCAGAGGAGACACATCTGCAGAAAGAGCTGAGTCACAGTCACTTTTCTTTTATTTCCTATTGAGCATTTTTAGTAGCAAACCGAAAGTAAACTGCTAAATAAATAGTTCTGACTTCCTCATCTTGAGTTAGCTGGAATGATATATTTGCCGGTAAGCTAGTCAAAGGCTTAAAAATGTAGCCAAAATTAAGGAAATGTAACAAGCAAGAGGAAGTTGCCCACCTCCGTGAAACAACGGAAAACCCCAGACAGGTTCTCTGAAACGTGGTTCACTTTTTCTGGAAGTGGGTGTGTACTGTAATGCAGACCGTCTTTTTTGTGGTCTTAACCTAGCGGTTTTTTCATTGGTGTATCAGCAGGTGAAAATACAAAGGTGGCTGAATATAAGAGTTTAAGGGCTGCTGCGCAAAAACTGGAAACAAAGAACGTTCCTCAGTGACTATACAAATCCCTGTAAAATGATAATGTCCTTAAAGGTACAAAAAGGCATTTTATTTAAGTTGTTCAACAGAAAAAAAATGATGTTGTGCTCATAAATATTCACTGTTTAGTGTGTAATTATGTCTTCCAGTCACTTGATGTGTTCTCATGAACTTAGAATTTAATCCATTAAACAGAAGCGGGCGCCAGTTTGTGAAAGCCGCTCTGTTGTCACACCATCTTCAATACAGTGGCTGAGATGGACGTTGAAATTCTGCCTAATCACGTTTAATGTATGTGGCTAGAAAATACTCGTAACTTGTCCACATTTACTGATATCCTCTTCCTACTCACCTCAAACCTCATCTCCTGACTGAAGTCAGGGCTCTAACACACACTTACTGCCAATTATTTTCAGCACTTATTGTCAGAAGTTGCTGTTTATGAGATTATAACATTATGCCAATTTACGCAGGGTTTGAGGTTCTAAAAAAAATACATCACACAGTCGAAATAGTTTGAATGAATGTTTATTCTCTAAGTGTTCAAGTCCAAAATGTTAGATCCATCTCAAATGGTAAATGGTAAATGGCCTGTATTTATATAGCGCTTTACTAGTCCCTAAGGACCCCAAAGCGCTTTACATATCCAGTCATCCACCCAGTCACACACACATTCACACACTGGTGATGGCAAGCTACATTGTAGCCACAGCCACCCTGGGGCGCACTGACAGAGGCGAGGCTGCCGGACACTGGCGCCACCGGGCCCTCTGACCACCACCAGTAGGCAAAGAAAGAAAGTTTCACATCAGTTTCAGATCCGAGGTCACATTATTTTTTAGGCCGGACTCGTTGTCTTTTGTTCTTCACTAGTCCTATTTCGTCAGATGTTTTAAGGACATGCTAAACACCATGTCGCATAGCTCTTTAGGACTTACTCTGTAAGTGCAAAAATACTATTTTATACCAGTCAAACTGTGTTATCCTTGACATTTTTCATAGGTGCCACCAACAAAAATGGGGGGGAAAAAGTATATGTTTTAGCAACAGGCGCTTAGTAACAAAGTGCTTAAACAAAAAGTGTCTTAAAAAACATACATCTGAAAATGCTCAGGTACAAGGACTGTACCAGAAATGAGTGAAAAAGCAGATAATGTCCAAAGAAAAACGTTGAAAGACCTTCAGAAAGCTTAGAGAACTGTTGCAACCTCTTCAAAAATACAAAGGAGTGACTCAAAACATTTGCACAGTACTATATTTATTACTTTCTACTTCACTTGAAGGACACATAAGCAGTTGGCGGCCTTGTAGCGTAGCGGTGTAAAAGTCTGTATAGTCACAACTAAATGGAGGGCACATGGACGGTGGTTCAAAGACTTTAAACAGATGATAGCATTGGGTTGTATACTCACAGATACAGAAACCAGTGTAACACTTGGCAAATACGTTTATTACCAGAGATGCCATAATATTCTTTTAAGACAACCTTGAATCACACAGTTGCTGATAGCTGCTCATGGTCATTTTTGGCTCTCCAAATCCCCTTAAATGTTCACTTTGTGCAGAGCCTCACCTCTTTATATCATTTATAATTGAGGGGATCAGTTGTTATTCCTAGAATTTGGCTCAACCTGAATACACAGTGCAGAGCAACATGCTGACAACATAATAAGTACCTGACAGCTAAATGAGAAGGCATATTGGTAATGTAAATCACACTGTTGTCCCAAACAGTCATGAGGTTGTCTTGAAAAACTGACCTTTGGCTAAATAACTGGAAAAACTGAGACCTTTTTTCAGGAATAAGGACTCCCGTGTGCTCAAATCATATTCTGCTCCTACAAGCCAGAAACTGGTCACAATGAAATGTTCACTGAGCAGCACTCACTATTTGTTTTGTTCTCCATCAAGTTTTTCTTTTCAGTGTACTACCACATGGCGGGACTCGAGTGAGCACCAGATGAAAATTCATGTGAAAGCAAGCATGTTCAGTGGAATCACCACGTATTCATATAGTCTTCTCTCCAACACGGTGTGAAATAAAGCCGTGTTGTCTTTGCTCTGTAAATGTCCTTTTTAAAGTTTGTCAGCAGCATCCGAAATGGCCATTGTAATCCAGTGATAAATGTAAAAGATAACATTAGAAGTCCTCGTGTAATTTTCCCACATACATCTAATTTTCATGCATTGTGTTGCTATGGGAAACAATATAAGCTAGCTAATAAATGGGAACACCACTGGCAAATCATGTTTTATTCACTGGCAAATGCCGCAAGCTGGAGCTGTTTTTTAATGCTTTCCAGTGCATTTAGCAAGGTTTATTTTGGTTCCTCATCTTCTAAAGTAAGCTTGTTAAACAGTTGAGTAACTGCCGTGCTTCCATTTAAAAAATTGTAAGCGATATATGTCATATGTTTTGTTGAAATATGAGGATGGTGGATTTTTAGCTGTCTGGAAGAATCATAGTGAATAGTTTAAGAATAAAACAAAGTTTGGGGTATGTAGAGTCATATCAGTAGAGATACTTAAAGCCAGAAAAGTGACCTTAAATCTTGAACTGAATGAAAAGTGTGTGCATTGAAAGGGAACAGCTGGGTCTGCACTGCTGTTCTATGCAGCAAGAGTTCAGTTTTGATTTTCTGCAGTTCAGCATGGCTCATGTGCATGAAATGACTTTAACACATGAATCAACACATGAATAATGAATAAAACTACTGTATAAATAGAAGGGGAGGAAAAAAATACAACTCGTGCCTCTTATACATTATTCAATAAAAAAAAGAGTGTGAATGAAACATTAAAAAGCTAGCACAGGTGCAGAAAATGGTTAAAAGGGGGGGTGGATGTTTGGCATCACTTTCACATTAACTGCTAGCGGCGTTTGTTGTTCCTCGGGGGAAAGAGTACACCACAAAAGCAAATGCATATGTTATTGCTACAGGAGACATACCAGAACAGCTAGAGAAACTCAAGAAAACTTAAACTCTTATAGTATACAAATTGGGGTTTTTTAAACTGTGCGTATCTGGTTTTAGATCCTCTGAGTTTATTGCACATGTTTGACTTTTCATGTACATGTGATGCCATTTTGAAGCTCAGAGGATAACACCGTGTCTGCTGCACCTGTGGCATAGCCCCACAGTACTGGTGAACGTGAATATCAGCGAATTAAAAGGTCACATGCATAAAATAAGCAACTTCCTGAATTATTGCAAGTGAGCAGCAATCTGCAGGAAGAAAAATCAGCTGCATTAGATGGAGAGGCTTTGAGATTGGCTAAAAGTACATAAAGAACTCTTTCTGCCAGTAGTATCTCATTGGAATCGGTTAAAATCGTATTTTTTGTGCATTGCCAACAGTGAGCTCAAGCTAATAATAATTCTTGGCATTTGACGATACAGTCTGTAGCCTAGTTGATTTTTTTTTCTTTATATGAACAATTGATCAAATGAGTGCATTCGCTCCGCTGTGCTGTGAAAGTTCTCACCACTGTAACACCTGCAGATTATTATTACTCAGCTCTGTAGTTTCATTCAACTCTACAAAAGCTTTTCGCTGGTTTCATAGCTTTGCTGTTTTGAGTTATTCTCTCCACTCTCATTAGTGCCATTTTTCAGATGTAGCTGCCAAAAGCCTTCTTCACAAAATCCCCCCAAAATCCCACGTTCAAAACCAACAACAGAGGATTTAGCATTCAAAGAGGCAGATAATATTTTCTCTCAAGTTAGTAGAGTCCACACAAAGTTAAAGGTGAGTATTGGCTATTTCATCTGCAGGCCTTTAAAATGATCCCAGAGATTCCAGGTATGTCTGTGCAGTGGGAACTTGGACATCATTTTCAGAAAAATGAATTAAATTCTTTGAATTGCTCAACTGGGATAAACGCTGATTAATGAACGAGGTTCTCAGACATTGTGATGAGATTCCTTTGCGTCGAGTCACATTCACCCGCTGAAGTGGAGAAGGTCGTTGATTTCATCGGGCAGCAGCAGGTCTACCTTAATGAAGAGAGAGTGCGATACGGAGGGCATGCTAGCAGCCTGCCATTGAATGTCTGAGGTGAGACCATGCAGCAGGGCAGTTCCACTGCAGTATCATGCTGTCATGTTTCGACACTATATTTAACAATTTCGGATTTCTTCACCCCCCCTTGAGGTCGATGCTGAAATCGTGTTCATCTTTCATCCCTGCACACACAGCTGGAGCTAACGTGGGCATTCATCTTTGCCAGAGGGTTGTGAGTGAGTCCGACTCAGACCTTCAGACCTTTAAGAAGATTGCTTTCCTCCTCTGTCTCTTTGCCCATCTCTCTGCCTCTCTTTGCCTGCGCTCACTCTAACCATGCTCGCTTTCTCTTCCTCTGTTTTTCGTTCCCACCGTTCTTTTTTCATTTTCTGTCCTTTCTTTCTTCCCTTTTTCTCTTTTCTACACTGCGCCCACTCTCTGGCA